CCAGCTAAACGAGATGAGCCCAGCCGCTCGGCGGTGAAGTGTTTGCACTCAGTCATTCGGAAAATACAATTATTCTCCTTCCCTTCGGCTGTGAAATTGCTGTACGACCGCTGTTAAACATGCTGCAGTCATAATCACCGATAAGAGGTGCACGGGGCCGCGCCTCCTCCGCCGCTACAGCGTGCAAACGACACCCCGCCGCTCCAACCGTCTTGTTGCAGAGCGATTTTGGAGTTTGCAAAGACACTGAGGAAAGGCAGCAGATGTAGCGTCTGTCAGAGAGTAACCTCTGTTCCCTCCCAGAGCCGCCACTGCTTCCTGCCAAGAATCCCGATCAGGGATCCAGGGAGAACAAAGTGGACTAAATGAGAGCTGGACGTGACTCTGGCACAGAAACACTGCTCACATCAGTTTAACACGGAGACGGGAAAAGTTTTTGTCTGGTCGGATTAATGCCGCTGAAGCAGAAATTTGCTTTTAGAACCCAGGATGCTTTTGTTTTGATCTCAGTTTGGTCATTTTTAGATAAAGTGCACATCAGTCTGAGTGGTTTTTATACAAACCCTGGAGGCAACGCCTGAACTGCTGACTAAAGTCAGGACATCTCTTCTGGTGGTCTTAATACGATGTGGGGGTCAGTTAGCTGGAAAGGTTTAGATCAGGGGTTTGCAACCTGCGGCTCTGGGGCCACATCAGGCTCTTTGAAGCTTTGAGTGAAACAAACGAGATTTAATTATTTGTTTTTTTAAACAGAAAAAGACTTCAGCAGCTGTCCTGTTAATTTGTTTACAAACATGTGATCAGTTACTGATACAAGCAGTGAAAACATTGATTAGATCAGTTTGTTAGCYACGTCAATAATCCAACTTCCAGTCTTACAGGATGATCTTTCTCCCAAATCCACCAGATTTTTTATATGTTTAAGACAACTTGCTGAGAAGAAATAGTGAGTTGATAATTAAGTATTTTTAGTTCAATGAATATTGTTATATTTACATTGTTTCTTGTTTACATTGATATTAGCCTGGTAAAAACCAGCTCCTTGCTCTTCGCTTTGCTTCATACAGAGGGTCTGGACTCTCAGCCATCGAGAAGCGATTGCTTCCTGGAGGTGTGGCCTCTGTTGAAGTTTAAAACGATTGGACCTGATTTACTCAATCACTAATGGTTAGCCGCGACGCATGGGCACCAGCTTCGCTGTAAAGGAGGCTAAGAAGCTAACCAGAAATTGCGTGCGCTGTAAACAATCATCCCCTAGTGAGAGGAGAGAAGTACCGAGCTGAACGGGACGGCTGTAAATGAGTTCTGCAGGCTTTGTGAGACAAATTTAACTTAATTTGGAAGCCTTGTAAACACRRACTGGCTTCATTCACTTCCTCTTCTGCCACTGCTAAAGCAGACACTGCKCAGAMAATTGACATTCAAAACTCCTCCCTCTGTTTTCTGATTGGCCCAGGTAAAATTCTCCCGAAGAATTCCTTGTTTATGGGAGGAATCCCAGACTGAGCAGTGAAGGGAAACTAGAATTGAGAAGAACTGCATCAAGACAAGGGCCAGGCTACATTGATATGGTCTTTTTTTGTCTTAATGTGTAAAAAAAAAAGAGTTATGAATTTTAAAACCTATTCTATATTTTTAGTTTTATGTCACCCCCACTGACTGGAAAAGTTCCCCTTCAAAAAACTCAAAGCGGCCCACCGAACACCAGTTGACAACTAAAATTTTAGCACATTTCACAGCTTTGGACACATTTTATCAGTGAAGCAAGGAGCAGAGATTTCTATTTTGATCCGGCTTTAGATTTGTCTTCTTTGTGCAAAATTTCTCTTTATCCTATCTCATCAGGAAGGCCAGCTCTGTGCTGGGATGCCCCCTCGACACAGTGCAGGCGGTGGGAGAAAGAACTCTGACTAAAATAACATCATTGATGGACGTCTTCCACCCCGTGCATGGTGGCTGAACTGGAGAGCTCCTTCAGCGACAGACTGCTGCATCCGAGGTGCACAAAGGAGCGTTGTCGCAGATCCTTCCTCCCAGCAGCTGTCAGACTCTATAACCATAACCACACCCAAAAATCACAAGTTTACAAAAATCCCAATAAGTGTTTACACACCTGCTGCTACCTGCACAATCATTTGTACTGTTACTGTTCATTGTCATTACTAATCTGAATAATCATTTGCACTACTACTCATTTCTATTACTAATCTGAGTAATCAGTTGCTCTGTTATTACCCATTTTAAACTTCAAAATGACATTTCTGCTGTTATTGCACAGCTATGTTTCTTGTCTGTGATACTTTACAGTTAGTTTTTATTGATTGCTTTGACCTGTTTGAAGGAACTGGGAACCTCTCAGTCTTCATCATCACCATCTCAGCAAAGCAGAAGACACCTCTTGTAATGTGTTAACCCATTCTCATTGGATTGACAGTTTTCCCACGCTTTTGCTAAAGTTAACGCAGATGTCATTCAAGAAGTCCAAACTCTGTTTTAGCTGTGGTTACAGAACAGAAACCATCTGCTCCGAGCTCTTAGAAACTCCCTGATCAGTATGAAATCACTGAAAGCACCTGTTTGACACGTCTTCACACAATTTTTCAATTTGCAATCAGTCTGCAGGCCTGTGTTGTTCTCTTATACTCTTATAGTACAGGCCTACTATAGATTTTTGTTCTTTACTGGAAAAGACTGTGTTTTTTATTTACCTAATTTCTCACAAAGTAAAGGATTATATATTTTTTTCCATGTATTCTCTGTTGGAATATTTTATCTGTCAGGCACAGTCTGAAAAAAAGAACGTAATCAATAAAATTAGCATCAAACCATATCTGCTGCTGGGTGCATTTCTTGCAAGAGGGTAAATTTGTCTACAAACGGCACTGGCATGTAAGCTACACACAGTCATAGGCTACAATGAAGAGCAATGGTGCAGTGATTCACACGAGTGCTGTATTTTGTTGCTCATTGTGTTCTGATTGTTTGGAGATGCTCATACATTGTGTCAAAGTTGAGTTGTTTGAAGGCAAAACTTACTTTTGTTCCATATTTTAGTTGTTTTGGCACAGTTAGTGCTTTTTGCAAACAAAATGTGTCATTTTGACCACTGTGGAACAGTTTAGGCCTCTGCGTTAACTGTTCTGAAAATGTGCAGTTTTCGGCAGTGTCAAAACAATCAATAAAAACTGTAATAGTCTGTTGTGATTGTTTTTGCACTGAAAATAGGCAAAGTCTAATTTTTAAAGTCAAACTCTGATAAGTAACTACAGTCTCTAAAACAAAAGATAACTTTTTTATTCTTGCACAATCCTTAATATTACTTTATTTATTCATGTATAATACGATCATCATTTTGAGCTTAAAAAGCAAAAAAAAAATCTAATCATTAAGTCGTGTATAAAACTACTCCCCACTTTATGGATGATTTCTATGGTTAAATTTCTAGTATTATATATAAATATATACAGTATATTTTTATTATTAGTAGTAGTATCATTGTTAGTTAGTGGTAATTGTTTTTTTTTTTTTTTTGTGCACCGTTTCTAAACTAATGCGTGAACCTTTGTACTGATGCTGCTGTGACACCTGAATTTCACCCTCGGCGGGACAATAAAGGCTATTCTATTCTATTCTTTTCTATCTATTTAAGTAAACTTTTACCCCATTTGTCACATCTTTGTTTTTGTTGTCAAATGTATTCATATCATTTAAAAAGAGGGAATTTTGTCTCTGAATTAACACTGGTCACAGTGAAAATCTAAGGAGCCCGCGAGGGGACACGGGGGATTTTTTTCCTTTTGCGTTCCCACGCAAACATTGTTTTGTATACGAACTGAATTAAATCAGACTTTTATTTTGAAATATCCAGTTACCAAAACAGGATGTGTCGCTACAAGTTCATGAAATTGACATTGATGTTGCGTGGCTGCACTGTGTTAAAATATCGGCATATGACATACTTCCATGCGTGGTTGTGTGATATATAGCACAGGAGTATATAGCATAGGAGTTAGCAGTAGGCTAACTCGCTAATGGTGAACAKGTGAGTTTGCTAATAAACCGGCAGGCAAAACAGTGATAAACGACTTTTGCGAGGGAACGCAAAAGGTATTGCGAGGTAACGCAATACTATTGCGTGGGAACGCAAAAGAAAAAAAAAATCTCCCATGTCTCCTCGCGGGCTCCGTAAAAATCCATGGCTTCAGCAGTGAATTTTAAACTAACAACAAACAATTTATTCACATATGTATATTCCTCAAATTCAAACACCGCCCTCTCTAACACCTTAAAAACAACTAAAATTAGTTGCAGCTTTGCCAAGAAAAACATTGCATCTAGATGACGTTTTCCAATTTTAGTAATGAGCCTTTTCCCTGCAGTGCGGGGTTAGAAAGTCAAGTATCAGATGGAGTGCTGCACCAGCGGCTGCTTATTTCTGACAGCAGGGGATGAGTCTTACCGKGATGAGGCTGGCTGTATTCAGATAAAAAAAAAAAACAAATCTTCCAATATATATTTTTAGTAAATTGATGTCTGCAATTTATCTGACACTGCTGCGCCGTCAAAAAAAAAATGCGTCAAGATTTAGAGCTAGTTAAAAATAGATGGTAAAGGATGTTTAAGTGGGTCATGTTCATGCAGAAACATCATCATAGTCGGGATGATTTAAAATGCAAAAGTAATTGGAAGGTTGTTTTTTTTTGAGCTGCTCAGCTGAAAGACACAATGAGTCTGGTGCTGGAGAACAACAGTGGGTTTGCTTGTGTACACAGCCGTACTGTAACACCTCCACACTGATGTGAGCAGCATCACAAAGACCGAACAGCGGTGGGGCGAGGGGGGGGGGGGATCCGTCCGTGGGTGGCTTCAGACGAAAGCAGCAGGGAGCAGCTCTCGCCTTTCTGCGAGGAGAGCGGTTAACACGACTCCACCGTCTTCACCGGTGCTTCTCGTCGAGCGCGCAGGTGTGATGAGATTCATCAACGAGACTAAATCAGGAGTTTAATATCAAATGTTTTAATAGAAAATATTTTACAGCTGAAAAAAAATAATAAGGAAAAACAAAGAAAGCGGCGTATATGGGAGACAGTAGGGAGGATATTTATTTTAGACCTCTGCAGGATTCAGAACCTCGTCGTTTTATTAAAAATACTTTTGGTGTTAATGTTTTCTGGACTGGCAGCTACAGCCCACTCATTAGATTTTCACAAAGTCCCTGCCACAGACTGTTACACATTTGACCAGCTTAATTAAATAAAGCATCAGTTTGTTTATTTTTTTCTGAACACTTCAAGAAAAGCAAAAACGAAATATTTGCTACTAAATATCTAAGAAAAAAAAAAAAAACCAAATTAAAAAATAAAACTGATCTTTTTGTCTCCACAAATCTACCTGACCTGCGTTGAGCTCCTTGGTCTTCATGATGCCTCTTGCTTTAGGTAGGAATATTTTTTGCAAGGTCCGGTAAGTCAAAACAAGTCTAATTGAATTTGAGCTGGGTCCTAATGGGCTCACATGAGAAAGTTTTATTTTTTTTCTCGATTGAAGGTGGTTTTCTCTGTGCATGAGGAAAAGTGGGAGTAAAAAAAATGTGATTAGAAGTTGTCTACAAGCTCCATGATCCTCTTCCGCTCAGCCTCTTTGAACTCTTCGCTCTTTCCGTCTCCGATGCTCTCGATGTACTCTGAGGAGGACAAAGAAAAAGCAGAGGATTAGTGGGTGTGACAGCTCAGGCGTGGCTGTTTGACTCTTAAAACAGAACCAGAGGTAAGATCCCTCCCGACAAACTGAGATTTTAGTGAATAAAAAAAAGAAAGCAAACAGAAAAATCAAAGTTTTTCTTTTCTTTTTTTTTTTACTCATTCAGGCAGAATTATGTCAGGAGCTTTCATTCCTCCTAATAATATTAAGATTTTTATTTCTGGCTGCTGAAATCTGCTAAGAGAATACGAATATGATCAGATTAAAATTACTGATCAGCTGCAAACTGAATGAACGAAACCTGCAAAAAAATTGAATTGGATGCATTTTGGAGTCAACAAATTCAAGACTAACCTAGTTCATTTTTTTTTATTTAGCTATAAGTTTGTGTGGTTGTAAAGTTATTTTCTCAACAAAACATGGTCTCAGATTAAAACAGGGATTTGCATTTCTTCAAATAATGCGGTCTAGGATTAAAATTCAGGTAAATTTCTTTCTTTCTTAAAAAGGTCAAAGATGGGTTATTGTTTAGGCACAAAAAGTCAAAATCATCAGGAGAATCAATTTCCAGAGTAGTGAGAATGAAACCACCTGAAATGATAATTAAAAATAAAACAAACTGCAGTTAATCTGTGTTCTTCTGTGCTCTCGTGTTGGAACAACACTTCAGCCCAGATTTGCTTTGTGTTCCTTTCTGCCAGTTTGACTCGGAACAAATTTACTCGGGGTTTTTGAACGAAAGCCTGTTTGAGGAACTGACCACCACAGCCAGGACCCCCGAGGGAATCCTCAGTTTGACACGACAGAAATGATTCAAATATTATAATAATCAACTAAATCTTGAGCTAGGCAACAATGAATCCAAGTCTCGTTCTTTAGCAGAGTGGCAGGTCCTTGTTGTTCAGGGCTCCGCTGCGTGTTTCTGAAAATTCAACTGTTTTCTTCGTTCTGTATTCCTGCCTCCCACACAAGGCCTTTGAGACTGCTCGACGGTCGATTTGTGAGTCTAATGTGCAGAAAGAGGAAGTTGCAGCTGCCGCAGCCCCGGTGGAATCCGTGCATCCGCTCTGCCTCTGAAGGAGGGATTACACATTAAACCCAGGGATGTTGAGACAGAAAGATAGAAAAAAAAGAGAGACTGTTTTTCTCTGAGAGACACTGCAGAGAAAAAAGATAAAAGGAGGCTTTCCTGACTAAAGCCAGCAGGGTTTCAGAGTACAAGGCTTGGATGTTTTTTTTGTTTTTTTTCCAGGGGTAGCAGGGGGTGGGGGATGCTTTTACATTATAAGAATAAAACAAAAAAATAAAGATAAAACGGAAGAAATAAAATAAATGAGATATTGTGCACAAATACGACTAAATTAGTAGGAGAGCAGGAATCGCATCATATTGTTTTTGTCACAAACAGTTGTGCTCATTTTGTTTTTTGGTTCAGTTTTGAACCTTTAAGCCGTTACAACTAAATTTTCTTCTAGTTTATTTGCTAGAATATTGATGAACACAGTCTCACAACTAAAAAAGAAAAAGAAAGTAAGTTGTTAAAAGATATGCCTGGTATAGAGCTAAAATAAAGGTCTGAATCCATTAATAAACTATAGCTAAATCAAGGATGGGCAACTGGCGGCCCGTGGGCCACATCCGGCCTGCAGGTACCTTCCGTCCGGCCCGCCAATTAGACCCCCTGAGCTGTTCAGCCCCCCAAGGTATGTACATGCTTCAAACGGTTCTGTACTCATATTTAATACACAAGAGAACAACTCCTATACATGCATTTGAGCATGAAATATACTAACTGTCGAGTATACAGTATATATTTATTTATTTATTAGGGGTGCAACAATACACATACAGAGGTTTGCAAAAGTATTCATACCCCTTGAACTTTTCCATATTTTGTCACATTACAACCACAAACATAAATATATTTCACTGGAATTTAA